GGAGTGTACTTCGTGTCTGTACACCTGAAGAGTGATAAGAGTTCAGAAATTGTAGAACAGATAATAGTTGCTGAATTGTTTAGCTGAGCCATTTGTTTCAGAGTTGAAAGAAACTTTTGTTTCTAAATACGTAGATCGCTTTCTTTTATATACGTATTAAGTTCTGAATGTTCTTTCGTTTTATGTTTATACCGTAGAATTGCAATATTCATTGAAAATTTTCAATTCACACACCATAAAAGTGTTCCACGTTTTACGTCGCATGTCTTATTCAACGGAAGAGTACCGTCGATGCATGATTCCTGTAACTTCCTTTCTAGCAGGCGTCAAAGTGGGTCACCTCTATTGTGCATTAAGACATCCATTTTTAACAGACATCTCGGGGAAAATCTTGGCCACGAATTTTCCTGTAAGCACCGTTTTCGTCGCCGAGTATTCCGTTCTCGATTTTTAATCGCGAAACACGGCTGCCTTGGTATCCCAGGTAACAATGGCGCAGCGGAACGCGGTCTGAATTATTCAGCGTGGCCTACGGCCCCGACTCCCGGCTCTCAGACGGCCCTGGTCAACTGTCAGCCAACGTTGGATAATATTTTACAGTTGGAGAGGACCGATACACGGGGAAACGATTCTCGAAAACCGATAACGTTGCTGCATCTACTCTATTCATTTTCGTCGCTGCATTAATTGGACGTTTGACACCCCTAATGTCCTGACACGCTTATGAAATTCGGCCTCCCGTTATTGTGACGCGCCGAATCAGAGAGACTTCCATTTTCGCGAACGCACAGAGGTTCGCTAATCGTTGATCGAACGATGCCGATATCATTGGGATGATTTGATTGCCGATTTAATTTAATTTCGTGCATCCTCCGCTGCGTTCGAATATCGCGGAGTGTTATCAATAATCGTACCATAATCGATTGAATATTATTTTATGAAATGAACGATGCTTAATCTTTCGGAAATCGGCGCGGCGGATTCGTGGATTCGCGATTTTCTGGAAAATTCAAGTCGACATTCGAACGATATTTGATTGCGCCAATATTTTATTGATCCATTGCACGTGCATGATTTCGTGATTTCTATCGAAATCAGATTCTCTCTTCCATTGAATCCCAACAGAGAAGATAAAGGCGTACTATTGATCTGAGAAAGTTTAGACGGGGCGAAAACGTGCCGTTTGGTGCTCAGCTGCGTACACATTGGACCTAATCCCGAGTACATCCATAACGCGAACGCACCCCGCAATAAAAATATCGCGCCTGTTCTAGCTGTGGTACCGTGTTGATGTTCCGCACGATTCTGTTGCTCGTCCCCTCCACCGTACAGAAAACCATTTGCGAAAGCGCTTAACCGCTTTAACGATTCGTTTAGGCGATCCTTGTCTCAAAGCTATTGAACGCTGGCAATCAATTACACTTCCTATCGATCGAACAAAGATGCCTCTATCTCCGATTCGTTCCGAGTTCTGTAATGCATGGATCGCTAATTTATTTCAGAAGAACACCTCGACCTCTGGTAATCGTTTTAAACCCTTCGGACTATAAATCACCGGATCAAACGTTCATCGACACACGCGGTGCGCGGTGTCAACAACAGAAAAAACGTTTCTCCGTAGCCTCCTTTACTGTCAAGAGTATTCAAACTTCCATTAATTTTTATTAGACCCAAGTTTCCGAGTGGCTAACTTCTCTTTAATAATTTCTCGCAATATTTCCTTCTCGAATTATTCTCGTAAAGGATCGCTGTGTTTGTTCAGAATTTTCGGATCTCGAATCCTTTCTCATTCTCAAATCAACATCATTAAGGTGGACGTTGGAGAGGAGGGGTGAGGATAGCCGGATTGCCAAGGCAAGAAGAGTAGCCCGAGATCCGGTCGCCGAGATTGGCGGACCGTGAGGGGCCCTCGGGTCCAGATTTCGGGCTTCGAACGACAAGATGTTAACACGTGTGTTCCGTGCCGAGTGTTGGTGCCAAGTCGGCCGAACCGAGGTGACACGATGTAATCTGAGACAGCCGACTTCGAGTCTCAAAGTCTCGGGCAACAGGCCCAGGGCCCGGGGCCCTGCCTCTCTCGCTTTCCATTCCTTTGCACGGTTGCCAGCCTCCTTCGTTCATTGGACCAGGCCACGGAGGACCTGTCTTTCATACATGACAGGACACGCCGTGACAAAAGAGCGAGAGATGCTCCGGGGCCTCGTTGGTGCCCGCGTTAAAATTCGCGACTGATCGCCAATCGTTATGCATGTGAACACGAACGACGGACAGAATTAATTAATTTCCGAGTCTGTATTAGCCTCGCGGCACGACGATGTTCGAGGAGTCCAGGGCTGTACGAGAGAAGGTAAAATTGAAAATAAGTGCCATCCTTCGATTCTAATACATTGGCCTTGTTTTCGATTAGCAGTTCCCTTGCAAAAGGAGAAACGAACCGTGTTCAAGGATTAAGGAGCGAGATACGAATGGCCATTGTCTATTTCGTCAATAAATTTTTTAATTCGACGACTCAACCGTGCGGAAAGAAGGACACGGCCGTAAAATGTACTTTTCATCTGTCTTTGACAATAGACAATGCCTAAGATGCGAGATATTTCGTGAGACTCGAAACACAGTGGTGTGTGGGTAGCGGCGAAGAATAACGGAAAGTGGGACTGTCTGGATCGTGCAGAATGTAGAAAAGAGGACGTGCCCATCGGCCGTGAGGCAACTTTGTTTTGGTATGCAACCATGATACGACACGCGAATGTCTGACTGTTCGGATGAAATATTTTCAACGTGAATCATTTTGTAAATTTCATACGAAGCGATTCGCTGGACATTCTTTGACGAATTACTCAGATTCGTCGCGTTCTTCGGTGACTTGTTTTCTAATAACAGAAAGTAGGATGATCTAAGAAGCACCACTTAATTTAGCCATTATTCCACAAACAAGCAGCGTCAATCTGGCGATCATTCGGGAACAAATTTCTCCGTTCACAATGGGATCGTTTGCTTTCACGGATAATCCAGTGAATCTGCAAGTCAGGCTACAAGCAACGATCTTGTAACGCGTCGGGAATGACGATCGCGTGGCCTACGACGGAAGTGGAGTCGATGAAGCGGCGATAAAACATAGGACAGAGAAAAGATTCGATACCCGGAGTGCACGGATCGAGTATTAATGCTGTTTGCTTAATACGCGTTTCGAAACGAACGCGAGGAGACAAACGAGAAGGTAAACGTGCACAAAGAGGAGAGCGGAGACAGCTAAGCAAACATTCAAGCTCGTTTGGCTTTTGTGCAGCCGTTGCACAAGCGATCGACGTTACACGCACGCGGTAGCGAAGCGCACGCGCGAGTACTCGCGAGTACCGCAGTACATATTCCTCTTGAACTGGAAACTGAAATAGAATTGAAGATAGAGGCGGCATTAACGGAGTCCTCTGATCGTGCTTTTCTCACTCGTCTCGCTCTTTGCGCGATTGCCTTTGCCGGCCTTTGAGCAACTCTCTGCTTGCCACTTTCCTTTAAAATCTCCTTTCTGTTTGTTCAATGCTTAATGCGTGGGATTGGACTTCACAATCGCTCGTTTCTAATACTTCGTTCGGCTCTTACGGTTTTAACACAATTTCATCTGAAGCGAGATTCGTGATGAATTATTATAGAGTTCAAAATCAGTAGAAAAATAAATTATCACAAATAGAAGATTCATTCTTTTCACACGTGATTCGATTCAATGAAATTTGCATTTTCTCTTGTCATGATGCGCCGAGTCACACTCTTCCGCTAATCCATTACTGATTCACGCTTCGTACCTTTCACTCGTATAATCCAAACGGAATCGCACAAATCGGCAAAGGGTGTTGCAGACTCCGCTTCGATACAGGTAACCAGGATGGAAACGCAGAAAGAAGAAGATAGGCGTCGCGCGTCGTGCACGTCACGCGGCATAATTGAATGATTATTGTTAATCGTATGCAGGTAGCCGAAGGAGGCGTCCGTGATCATTAGGGGTTGACTGAAAAATACATCGCGCCGGTTTCTCCACGACGAGCGTGTACACGTTCGCTTCGTGTCGTAGCCTGTAATTTTCCTCCTCGGCCAACGCGTTCCTCGCTTCCCTCTCGCTGCTGACACGCAGCGAACGGTGCAAACGTCGCATTAAATCGTTAGATCGTCATCGTTTAAACTTAAACACCGCATCCTGTCTTTGCTGACAGGATGGAGCCGGGTCTGCCGAAATTTTAACCCGTCTCCCAGGACTCTGCTCGACCTAACGGATTTGGAAAGCGCGGATAAAGATTCTGAAACGCGTTGCTTTGAACTGGATACAAATCCCTGTTAAATTTAGTTTAATACACGCGTATACCTGCGTGCAGAGCCGCGACGAAGCGTGAAAGAATCAAGGACGTCAGCGTGACAGCACGGCTATTTGTGACTGGCTAAAACGAATTTTTAAGCACGATCAATGCGCACGGAATTAGATGCTTCCTGCGGTAGACGCGAAACCTGCTGAAGTCATCGAATTAAGCGACTTCACGGCGCACCGAGGCGCTTTAAAGAGGCCTAATTCCTCGCGAACAAAGCTCCAGGGAAACAAGGAAACGCAGTTTTTCCACGAGCTACCCTCCTTTACCCTGCGTCATTTCCCTGCACTTTGAACGTCGGACGAAAGGGTCGATTTAATCGCGACGTCGAACAGTTCTGTCGAAGGTGGCGGTAGAAAATATAGACAGGGACGAAGAAGACGGGGGTGGAGGATCGGGCGGCATCCGGTGAAACAGAGAATTACGTGCAGTCGACTAAGCGTGCACAATGCGAGGAACTCGTAGCCTTCGATTCTAATCTGATCAGGCTGCGGAGGCTCACGGATTAGCCGGGGAATCCGGAGACGCCTGTTCGTAGCCTGAGGGAGGAACAGAGGCGAGGAACTCGAGGCTGTTCGGTAGCCGGAACAGGTAGTCGAGGCTTCGAGAGGACGGATACCTGATCGCGCGGCTACGCGAACCTTCCTTTCTTTCTCTATCAGCCCTCAGGACGACGAGGAAGCTCCACGGCTGTCCTATTATAAGAAAATAGATCGACTTACACCGGTGGTGCGGCCCAACCGACGAAGACGACGAGGTGTTCGAGTGTCGCGAGAAAGAGACGGGCATCGAAGGCGTCGTATAGGATTCACGGTCGAACGAACGGGACGAGAGAACGACGTCTAACCCCGTCACAACATCGTGTCACTTGCCTGTCAAACTGGATTAGGCAAATAACCAGATGATACAGGGGGGGACAAGGTTTTCGTGGTTGCGGCTGCCGCCGGTGTACCTTGATAGACCATGCTCTATACACCTTTCAGCGATCTGTGGCGACCAGCAAAGTTCCCAGCGGAGGAAAAGGCAAAAGGCAGTGTGGACTTTTTGGGCGTCCGAACCGTCGGGTCAAGGAGTAATAAAACAATAATTCGTACCGTTTTGCCAATCCAACGGCCACTCTACAAAGTCCTCTCGGAAGTCCTCAAGTTCCGCTCGGAACATGTCAGATTCCTTTCTTCGGGAAAGCATTTTCTCTGGCTTGTAAGGACACTCTGGTCCGAACCGTCTTGAAGGCAAGACTCGCGCTAAATAAAAAAGTTATTTTGTATCCTACCGATTTCCCTCGCATGATCCCCTCAGATCTATGGATAATATCCTTTCCAACGAGTTTCTCGAGTGCACGCTGAAAATCTCATGAATCAAGGAATGGTAAAAAGATGGTGTAGACAGTTTAATTAAGAGAGGACAAACGTGCGGATGATGGGCGAAGTAGAGAGACATCGTTAATCACCGAGGAGCTGACTGGACGAGTGAATGAAAAATTTGCGCGAAGGTTTTGCCATTCCTCAATTGATACAGCCTCGATCTTTTTCATTTGACCGACGATACAACAGTGATGAGATGGACCACCTTGCTAAATTAGTTTAAGATATCATGAAAAGATTTCCCTGATAATGTTTGAAGCAACGATGATGAGTATTGTCGATCGAGAGCATCGAGCTTGTAGATCAATCGGCAACGAGTCCTTCGATCATAACTAGTAGGCAGTGAATTATTCGCGAGTGTGTTTCATAGCGGTCACGAACTCGCGATTCATTCATTGCCGATGCTCGGAGTCGATATTAATGCGGCGTCGTAGATCGATCGGATCGATTAAGCGAGTCGCGTACAGGGGAAATTGGTAGGATCGGTAGCGCGGGGAAGTCGACACGCGCGACCCTCGTTCGAATGAATTTATCGATCCATGTCCGTGGATCCGTGTAAAGTCTCGATAAATTAAAGGCCCGAACGATATTGATGGACGTCGACGATGTGATTCGGCGCTCATTCCCTTCGGAATAAATTAAGATCCCAGCGGTGAGTAATGATAACTCGTTGGAGTGACGATTTCCGAGCTACGCCGTGCTGGGAACGCTCTCGCGTCTTTATTTTCGAGGATTATCATTTCTCATCCTCGGCCCGTTGCCTTTACTAAGGATCCGTTCGCTTGTATCGCGCAGCTTCGTAAGCCGTCTTTTGCTTGTCCGTCCTCGTTTGCCTCGTGGTTTGTTTAACTTTGACCTGAGCCAATTCTCTTTTCGAAGAAGACGAAAGGTTGCAGTAGGCAGGTTAACGAGAAGTAGCTACGGGAAGCTATGTATATTACTACTGTTAATTGCTTTACAACCGGTCATTACTGTCGTGCCTCGGTCATTTCGGGAGATACCGCACCACGAAACGTTATCGACGTGGGCGAGATGGATCGTAAATTCCATTAGTCCGTATGATTTTCGCGGTGAAAGCGTTTATCTAACGATAACAAACGAGACTATGAGAAAGCGATATAAATCTATCAAAAAGCTAAAGCACCAGTTTAATTCCTAACACCGTGGCCGAAAAGCAGCCGCATTGTTCGAGGAATCTTGTTAAGAAGGCTGCACAAGTGGCGGCACGGTCGGATCGCTCAATTAAATCAAGAACGCATCACCCAGATGATCGTCTCGGTTCACGATCGAAACGTGGCAAAGAAACGTATACCGATGAGTACGCATAACAGCGGCCGATCCGCAAAATAGGCACGGTCCGAGATGACCGGGATACCAAACGGCCGGCAGCTTTTTTCCTGGCCGGTGACGATGGAAAGAAAACGGGCTAAGGTGGATAGGAGGAGTAGGAGAGAGACAGCAGGCCGGTTGGATCCGAAGGCGACCTTAATTAATTAACGAGGCAACGCTCGAAGGATCGCCGCGGCTCGTCGGACGGACGACGCCGTTCTTCCGGGCGTATCCACGCTCTCTACGGTGTGCTAATTCGGTTAAATGGTTAATTGCTTAATTTCATTTAATACGCCTCCGATCCGGCTGGCTGCCCGCTTCCTGACCGTCCTCCTCTTTTCTTCGTCCAAGCCTTTCTTCCGATCGCTCTTCCACTTTCTTACTCTTGCACTCCCTATCCCTCTTCTTCTTCTTCCTTTTCCCTTCGTCCTCTTCCTTCTATAACGTCCCGTCTGTTGGAGGACGGCTTTACTTAGCCACGAAGAGGACTCACGGGAGGACTCAGGAGAGGAGAGCGTTTCCGTCGTGGCCGTTGCATCGTCGACGCGCGGGGTCGATGACCGCTCGCGATGCCGGTTCAGCCTCACGAAAGAAAGAAATCGCGGGCATAATTAGCGAATGATTGATCGATGCGTGTCGCCCGAGCTATGCATGCGCATTGCTCCTTCCTTCTCTCCTTTTCTCTCGATCAGGCTTCTTCGCTTTTCTTTCTTTCTTCCCTCGTTCTTCGAGATCGTTCTGTTGCCCGTTCCTTTCCGCTCTTACTCCTTCACTTCCCCTCCTACCTCGTCCCGGCTACCCCGCGGCCCGTTTGGCTCCCGATCTCTTTTTCTTTTGCCTTAATTTAGTGGCCATCCGCGGCGGGCATACGCCCCGACAAGGGCGCGTATGCACGCGCGCTCCATCGCTCGCGAGTACATGCTCACTCGTGTATCTACGTATGTATAGTACCTCGAGGAAAGGATCGTGCGTGCGCGCACGCATATCCGATGCTTTTTGCCGCGGACGCCGATACACGGCGCCGATCACGATTGACCGGCGTCGATCTCTGTTTAGTTATTCGGAAATTATTGCGGCCCACGGATCCTCGTTAACGATCGGCTGGAATTTTTCGGGCCGTTCAACGAGGACGAATGCTGCAAGTAACTTTCAGGGACGTTTACGACTGTCGTTGGACGAGCTTATTCCTCGCCGGCCATATTGGACCTCGAAAAAATATCGTACTGTTTGAATTACAAAGTTGAATCGGTTGGACCTCTTTAGAATAAAAATCTCTTCGGTAGATAAGAACTGTAGTAAATTAATGAAATAAACGTGGAGTCTGTCAAACTTTAGCTCCAAAATGCTGGGCTCGAAATTAATTAGATCGCTTAAACGAGTCAATGCGTGGGTGTGAAAATTCGATTTGTCAATGAACACCGAACACGCCGGGTTTATTTATCATAATTAAGCGGAAATCGATCTACCTTCGATCGAGATACTGCGAGCACCATAGTCCAAGCAACTAGCTCGTGTTCGGCGTTAATGGAAGAGACGAGAAACTCTGTCGAGCTACGGGGAGCCACGAGCTTCGATTTTCTTGATCGATCGGTCGATCGATCAACGTTCACGAATCGTTCGCGCTCGCTTTGACAACGTTCACGAAACCTTTCGCCCAACGACTTCGCGTGGATCCCTTAAACGTCCTGTATAATTCTATCCTGATTTATTCGCCTAATCCTCCTGTAACGTTGCTCCTTTTAAAATACTTGGTTAAATCGACGAGCAAACTTTAATTTCAATACTTTAACGACAGTCTAAGACGGAAAAATATTCGACGGTAAATAATTCCGTGCTAAATTCTGTCAGATTACGCGTTAAATATTCATGAGATGATCTGAATTTCACGGTTGATACCATCCGAAAGTTGACGCGAATCGTTCAAACCTATCGGTATTACTTGCGCGTCTCGTTTTCCGAGTTTTGGCCAGGTAATAAAAGTAGCTGGCCTTGAGAACGGTTCAAGCGAATCTTTCGAAAAATCGCGATCCTGCGCGTAAAAGTCAATAAAGATACGGATTACCCTTCGCTGAAACCCGTAAAATCGCTATCGCGATCAGCGTTCACCATTTCGTTTTACGACTCTGTTTTGAATTTCGCGCCTTCTGCATTCGGTGAATCCTTCGGACCGTGTTCGCGCGAAACTCGTCGATTCGAATTTGTATAATAATTATACAGTTCTTTGAAACTTAAAAATGACTTACACAGCCTAATCCTCGTTATATTCTTATTCCCCGATGAAGCAGCATGGAACGGTGTCATACGGTCGGTTATTACTTGATGCTGGATCAGCGTCTACTTACCTGAAACAGAGAAGAGGTTGAAGATTAGCGTAAAACGTTGATAGCGGGGTATAATAGGCGAGGCTTTATGGAAAGCGATAAATTTCGGTGTATGAAGCGGATCGTGCTCATGAAACAATAGACAGATAGGCGATAGGATGGTTTGCTTGGACCGAGTTATCGCGCATAAAACGAAACGTTCGAACGGTATCTTAAAGTGTCGCTGGTAGCGCGTGTGGTCCGCTCGATGGATCATGCTTTTAATTAAAACTTTTGCAATTCAACCAGCTAACGAACGAAGAATATTACGGCAACCGATGCTCTTGATTTACGATGAACAGACAAAGCTCACTTTTGTTTCGTTAATTGACGATCGATCGCATAAACGAACGAGAAAATTGACAAACTGAGAAAATTGTACGCAGATCAAATCAGATGACAGACGAAAGAGGAGGACGTGGGATCTGGTCGAAAGGTAAGCGAACGGTAGTGGAAAAGGGAGGTAAGGTAGAGGCAGGCACGAGGGGGTGGCACGGCAGCAAAAGAGAATGCAGTAAGTAAGCATGCCTTCGCCTCAAGATCAAAGATCAATGCCCACTCGAGTCGATTTGAAACGCGAGCGCATTGCATAGTCGCGCAAACATTATTATACCCCTGTCGACTTTATATACAGTGCCTGCTCGGTACACGCACTCTCTTTCTCTTTCCCTTTCTGCTCCTCTCTTTTTCACCCTTCCTCTCGTTGCTTCTACAACATTCGTCTTTCTTCCTCTCAACATTCGTCCCTCGTCTTTTTCAGTCTTCACAGGCGACCACGGTACGTCCGTTTTCTTCTCTCGGACGCACTCGCACTCGCGTACATCGGGGCAGAATGCGAAAAGGGAGTAGGATGGATAGCGCAACGTGGTCCCGGTGCAACTGTATGTTAATCGAATGCGCATCCGAATACGGAATAAGGATGGAAGCCATCCAGTTTGATATACCATTCTCCCTACGTCCCTCGTTCCCCCCGCTCGTCATCCACCTCTTCCTCGTCATCTCGTCGTCTCCTCTGCATCGTTTCTACCAGCGACGTCCTGCTCGTTCGTTGTCGTTGCAGCCGCGACAAGAGGAACGCCGCTCCTTTCGTCGACACTGCATCAGATTCGAAAATGATTCTCCACTTTTTCCCCTCTCTTTCTCTCTATTTCCTTGCATCCTCTAGCCATACCTTTGACTCCCTTTTCCCTTCGCCCTTTTCTTCGTGCCGCGCCACCGCCTTCGCTTCGTGTATCGGTGCACACGGTGCGCGAACGTCATAGCCGTAATCCATTACAGGGAATTTCGTATGCGTACATATACGATATTGTACACGTTTATGCGTACGTACGCAAACACGCCGCGGAATTAATGCGACATACCGCGCGCCCCGAGACCCTAGGATAATCGTGGACCGTGTTCGCGGCGCGGCGGCTGCGAAAATGTCGCCAAGTAATGATCGCACGGCCGCGATGGTGATTTAGCGAGCAACAGAGAAACGGGCATGGTATTTTACACGATCGGCTGCGTTTTACTGGGAACTCGAGGTACACGGCTTTTGAATACGATTATTCCACTCGACGCTGCGCGGACCTCAAACGGATCGCCCGTTTTATTGTTATCGTTTGATCGTACGTTTACATTTCCCTGCTGAATTCCAGCAAATTTTCACGTTTAACAGGAGGATTTTAATTGGTCCTGCATCGTACGTGGCGTTGTTGATGCAGTAAAAGTTTTTGATAAAATGAATGGATTATTAGGAGAATTCTATGGGCATCGTGATAATTTCTGCAATTAACTTCTATGAAATATGCAATATTCCAGCACCCACGATTTATTAAATTCCTTGACTTATTAAATTTACCGAAAAGCTTGTCTATTTCGTTCTCGTCAAGCGCGTTGTTTCAAAATGTGATTCATCGGGAACGCAAGTGCATCGTTTAGTCGGAGTCGCCGATCAGTCTGCAGAGTGACGTTTTCTCTTCGTCCACGAAAAGGTTGCCTGTTGGTCCGTGCAGTCGCTCATTTGTGTCAGGGTGAACCGTTGCGCGAGCTGACGTGGAAAATGAACGGGTATAAAGCACTGCCGAGGGTCTCCATGAACGGAGCTCGATGGCTGGCGAGTACGACTGTGATGCACCTCAGGTGGTCCCTGGATGGTTCGAGTGCGGCGTCGTCGATCGCTGCTGAACTCGCTGACGAGCGTTCGCAATAAATTGGAATACGCCACGCGATTGCGAGCGGCGTTCTCTTCGAGATGAGCCCGCGGACTCGGTTGCTACGGCGGAATAGGAAAAGGAGTTGAGGGTGTTCTTCAGTCACCTGTCAACGGTGAAGATAAACTTGAAGGGAACGGGCCTGAAAGTACTCGCTCGTCCTTGGTGGCTCAGGTCTAGTTGGCCTGCACGCGAGCCGATCTCTTTTCCTCGCGAGTCGATCTCTCGCAGCCGATCTCTTCGAGCGTTGCCGCTTCACTTCCAGTTAGGCCGCGGCGATCGTCTCGGGACCGCGTTACTCGCCGGCGAATTACCGAGCGTTCAGTAGCGAACCGAGAGAATCCGGACTGTTTCGATAACGTGATGCGGATTGAAAGCAGCCTGTGGGAGTCGTTAGACTCGCGGCAAAGTACGTCGTGTAAGGATGAAGTACATGTCGGCTGAACGTGCCTGTCACGATTCCCTGATGCAGCGACCGGCTGGTGTTTCCTTCCTTATTTGTTGCACGCCCGATCACTTGCACGATAAGCAGCTCACTTTTACAGTCTCGCCGCGACCGCGTGCTCTGCTCGCGCGAAATATTACGTGGAAAATGAAATACCGCTCTTTATCGCGACCAGCGAGCCGTATTATTGCTTTCTTTCTGCCCAGTTAGGCTTATCTGAAAAGGCAAACATTTCCGCGGCTTTTCAGACGAGTATGTTTCACTCTTATCAGCACGCCGCGAATTAATGAGCTACCTCGGAGCAGATTGCGTTTAAAATACTTTTACGAGCTTCTGCTTCCAATTAGAACGGTTTTTCTTCCATGCGCACCGTTGCTTGTCGCTTTAAAGCTGAACGCAACGCTGCTCCCATAAACCGTGGGACGAGATCGGGGAAAGCTCCAAATATAGTCGCGGCGACGCGAGGGCAAGTGAATTCCGTAAAAACGATAAGACAACATTCGGGCCGACGAAGGGTGAGAGTCAAGTATTATTGCGTTAACGCGATAAAGGCACGACGGAAAGTTAAGGAACAGGGTAGAATCGAGTGGCCAGAAACCAGGGCACAAGGTGGCTCGATTAAGTCTCGCACGGTATCGTGGATATGGGTGGAAAGAAAAACTGTGGAGGACATCGGGCAAGGAGTCGAAGAAGAGGAAGAAGAAGCGAAGTGGAAGAGTGCTCGATGCTTCTTCGTCTTGGCAACCGAGAGGAGTTGCAGGCAGCAGGAAGGCACTTAAAAAAAAATCTAGACCACCCAGCGACCCTTTTTCCGGCTAAGGGTTGCAGACGTGCACGCATGCACACGCAGCCTTCCGCAGCTAGGTGCTTCACGACGTGTCGGTATTGCCGGCACGTAGCCCCGATGCCAACCAGTCTCATAAGAGAGAAGCTAGAGAAGTAGACGAGCCAGGGGTGCATCGGGGGTGGACGATAGGCAGTAGGACGACAAAGAGAGGGGTAGGTCGGTCTGGGTTGGCTGGTCGGGATTACGTGCTGTGCCTCCTCCTAGATATACGTATAGATCGCGCGATATACCGCGCGGAAGGGATTATTCTTAGGGTAGGGTAGGGTTTTTGCCCGAGTGTAAAAGTGCGAAAAGGGACACGAGGAGGAGGGTCGCTAGGACGAGAGGGAGTCTAGGGCAGGAGAGGAACAGAGGGTGGAAGAAAGAAAATCGCGTCCGCGGTTGCTGGTGGAAGATGGAAGCACGTATCAAGGGTGGAGAGTGAAAAAAAAAGGGGGAGACGCAGTGAACGGGGTTGCCTTTGGGGAGGGCGAGAAAGAGGAGTAGAGCGGCTGGTGAGCGGCGATAGAGAAAGAGAGAAGAAACGATGGAGAAGGAAAACGATAGGCAAAGGGTCGAGGATACAAGTGAGAAGGGTAGGTGGGAGAGAGAGAGAGGTGAGGTGATGCGGAGGAAAAGGGGTTGATGAGGATGAAACAGGGTTCTGGTTGCATGCGAAGATGCATAGACGATGCGCGCGAGCACTCGCTAGGGCGGTGCACCCTGAAGGTGCATTGATCCCACGGTGGCTGTGCGTAGGGTGCCCTACCTTCTACCCCGTTTTTTCCCTTCGTCCCTTAACCCGCACCTCTCGCTCCTCCAGCTTCTCTCACCCTCCGTGCCTCGCCCACCCTTCTCGACGGTGCGTACGTACGTACTTACGTATATGTCCCTGCGTGCACTTATATGCGTACGCAGGCAGGTATAACGCCCCTCGTTCAGCGACACAGGGGTTGCGAGAAAAAGTAGGATTTCCATCGTGACGACGACGACGACGACGACGACGACGACGACGACGACGACGATGGCGACGACTACGACTACAACTACGACGATGACGACGATGTCGGTCTCCGTTATTCGTCGTGTGCCACGTACACAGCCACGTAGTACGTGTTGGAGAGACGATAAAAGGGGATCGCGCGGGGGGAATGATAAAAAAGTCGAAGGAGAAAGAGAGCGTGACGAAGGGAATGCAGAAACGCGAAAAGTGCTCGTTGCGTGCCGTGATGAGAGGAGAACTCATTAAAATAAATATACGCGACGTACGCGTGCACTCACGCATAGGATGCACGCGTCGCCTGTTAATACGAGCACGTTAGGAAACGAAACGAACGACGCCTCTCACAGCTTCCCTTCCTTTTTCTCTCGTTGCGATCGCGTCAATCGATGCATAAATGCAACTGTTACTTTGCACGCGTGATAGATTAGCAATTACGCGGTCTAATTAATCCAGGCTGGGAAACGAGATCGTATCAAGGACGGACAGCGCTCGCGACGATTTTACGCAGACAGT